GGGGAAGGAGGACAGGGGGAGAAGTGGGGCGCAGGCCCCCCCCCTCCCTTCCTTCACCTTCGCCTCCTCCTTTATGGGGGGCTGAGGCGCGAAGAAGGGGGGGGGTCGGCCGGAGATCGACAGCGGCATGGCCCTGGGAGGGTGCGGCCGAGGTCGGGTTGACACGACGCGGTCCACGTGAAGGGGCTCAGGGGGGGGTGCGATGGGGATCCCTCAAGGGTCCTCGGCATTCGCGCAGGAAGCCAAACACGCTAAGGCTAGGACAAGACCCCAATAATAATAATGATAATAATAAAAGAAAAAGTAAAAGAAAAAAAAAGGGGGGAGGTTAAATTGGGTAGTGGAAAGGAAATGATAGCGTGTGTCCTCCGTGGTGACACTCAGGCGAGTCTCCCTGGTTCCACATGCTTGATATTTTTGACATGCCTTCATTAGTGACGGGTTGGATTTCAAAACGGTCATTACAAAAATACATGGAGGATGATAAAAATGTTATATAAAAAAAAAAAATACAATCACCCCTCCGTCAAGTAAATAGAATTTTTGATAGTTCCGCGTTTATTCTTTAGCAAACTTATTGAAAGCAATAGAAAAAAATGGAATCTGAAGGTTAAAAAGCATGAAGAAAGGGAAGATAAAATACTCATAAACCAAGGAATTACAAGTATTCGTTACCGAAAAGAAAGGAAAAGGCAATATTCGATCTGCCTTTTTTGATACCCTACTTCGCTAGAACAATTCATCGCAGTATTTTCCTTCCACCAATTTAAAGAACAGCGGGAAAGAGTAAAGTATAATCAAAAAAATATTCAATACTTGGTTTGTTTGCTTATTTATCTACTTTTTTTTACGTGTATAAATATAAGCATAAGTTTTAATTGATATTGTCAATGATAGATGAGAATTAGTAATACAAAAAAAATGCTTAAATTAAGTACACAAAGCAAAAAAAAAAATGAAACCTATATCTACTATTGCACAGAATCTATAAAATGCCACAATATATATATAAGAAATCGTCCATGATTCTATTTTGTTAACGAATAAATGGTACCAGAAAGGTGGGTAGAAAATCAAAGTAGCAATAATGAACTTTATATGATTTTTTTGGATCGCCACTTTTTTATTTTATTTTTTCTAGAAATTAATACCCTTGAGGTGTAATACAAGTTCGCTCCATCGTATCTACGCCGCGATAGGTTGGATATTGGTAGGTTGTCTTCACCACACGACAGGGGTTCACGCAAAAGCTCGGCTTAGGATTCGAGCAGAAAACCTCACAGGAGGATGGAATCTCCTGAAAGTTCACATCAAACACCCCGGGGTAGACTGGCCGACTGGATAAAATCGCCAAGACAAATCGAAGCTGCTCTTCTGGGAGAGGCCCCAGCTGCAAGGCTCGACCTTCGCCCGGATCCAAGCGGGGAATGATGTAGTACGGGCTATAGCCCGGCTCCAGCTTGACCTCCACGCAAAGATGGTGGGAGTACGCGAAGACCGCCGAGTCCAACCCCCCGCCCGACGCGCTCGACGCTCGGCAAAAGAGTGAATCCATCCCGTCCGGCTCGCTCCGCCGGGTGATGAGGAGCGAAACCCCATCAAGCGGGTCCATCGGGGGCGGTCCGGCCGCGTTCGCGGGACGCCCCCGCTCCATCGTGAGCATCAACACGCAGTCCACCTCCACGACGGT